AAAATAATTGTAAAGATTTCACTATTCTTTCTACTAGTAATGTTGCTGTTTCTACGTCCATTAATTCATCATCATCGTCGTCACCATCAGTTCCATTATCGTTGTCAATGTTGTTATCATCATTTTCATCCCCATATTCATCCTCACCCTCATCAACATCCACATCTCCATTTTCGTCCTCATCATCATTGTCGTCTTCATCTTCATCGTCTATGTCATCATCGTCTTTGTCATCCTCATCCTCATCCTCATCGTATTTGTCATCCTCATCTTCATCTTCATCGTATTTGTCATCCTCATCCTCATCCTCATCCTCATCCTCATCTTCATCTTCATCGTATTTTTCATCATCTTCATCTTCATCGTATTTGTCATCATCTTCATCTTCATCGTATTTGTCATCATCTTCATCTTCATCTTCATCCTCATCGTCATCCTCATCCTCATCGTCATCCTCATCGTCTTTGTCATCGTCTTTGTCACCCTCATCCTCATACTCATCGTCATCATCATCATCCATTGACATTAGAATATCGGAAAATCTTTAACATGGTAATTGATGAAAACACAATCAATACCGTCTTATCACTACTACTATTATTACCTACAACACAAATTATTTGATACGAACATAATATTATGAATTAGATTCACATTAGGATTAGGAACTATTTTCAGAACTAATAGAATTTTACAATTGATTATGTATGGTTTTAAATTTTATAATTTTTTATTTGTAAAAATATATACCTTAAGTATATATTATATGGAGCATTATAATAATAATAATAATAATAATAATAATAATTTACATAAAAATTTCAGGGTTCTAGATTTTAGTAACCAGTTATAATGGCAATTGACTTTTTTTAATAAAGGAATTTAAACATTAATCATGGCCCATTTGATAATGCTACGATTATGTCATGGCAACAATCAAAAAAGAAATAAAATATAGGAACCTGTTTTTACAGGAAAAGAGAATGGATTTCAGAATTTTTAATTTAAACTAAAGAATCCATCAGGACTATACATGTGGTAGAAATAGATCATTTGACTCAATCAGGTGACTTTTTGACGCAATTAATTGAGTCATATGAAAAACATATAAATAATTGAGTCAGACGCAATTAAAAATTGGGAATTGAGTCGAAGCCAAATTAATTTTGATAACATGTATAATCAGGACTAAGTTTAATTTGACTTGGAACCATGTGACTTTTTATAATTTTAAAATTAAAAAATGATAGATAAATGGCAATTTTAATAACTCTTTTTTAGTAATAATCGTATCATTCTTCACTTCTAATCGTGAATCAATAGGTTTGTAAAGTTACATTATGAAATTAATATTGTTTAAGCAAAATATTTCAAAGATTCAGTATATGGAATGTTAGTTACCTAAATCCTAAATTTTTTTCTAAAGAAAAATTTGTACTTGCATGATAATCTTCATTCAATAATAATAGAGAACCTAAAACTAAGAAGTTTGGAAAACCACACTTAGAAAATTGAAGGCCATAACAAACTTTCTCAACCTATCCCTAAGACTAAGTGGATGGCACAAAGATTACAATATGTTATTTATTGATTGGAAATCTTCAAGTGCTTATCTATTGAATTTTTTTGCGAGTATCCAGTATGGACTACAGGCAATCCATTTGCAAGTACCATAGAAGAAGAAACTAAGGAAAGTCTTCAGAAGTTTTCCGAGAACAAATTAATGACAAGGATCCAGAATTTGTAGACATAATAGACAATATGTATGAATTTAAAAGTAAAGTATATATTTAGAGGCTGATGGATTTTTAGAATTTCTTGAAAATCTTGATGCTATAGTTAAATATATGAGGATCGCCTAAAATTCTTTGATACATTGATATGATAATTGATATGTTGTACTGTAATCAATCATTTAATACTTTAATTACATTTCTAAGCAATAAATATTTTTTCCTTTTATCTTCAAATTCTCTTTTCTCTTGCGACCCAGACATACCTCAGTTTTTACAAACAGTTTGATGTTTTTTACAATATGGTGTACAAGGAGTTGCCTTACATATTGGACAGTGATGTTTTGTCAGTGTGGTAATGCCTCGTTCTTCTCGATTGTCTCGATTTCATTGTCGATGTGAGAAGACTCTTCAAAAAATCTCTAGCATCGTTGAGCTCCAATCACCAACTGTTTTGACCAAGAGATTAGCAGGAGTACTTGCAAAAGAAGTGGACATTTTTTTAAAAATATCTTGATAAATATCTTGTGTGATGATAACTTGTAACGCTATTGGAATGTTCCAATGTAGATCTTCAATTGATATTGACCAATAAAATTCGTGCGTGTGACTCTGTAATTGAAATTTCATTGGTTAACTTCATTGGAACCACATTTGGAATGTTCCAATTCCAATTGGAATTTATTATAGTGCTCCAATGAAATTTTATTGGAAGCATAAATGGCACAACACTGTCATCTGTCATCCAGTTACACGAAAAATTCCTAAATTTGTAGAAAAAAATATGATTGGCTAAAAATTAACATTGCAATCATTGAAGGTTGATATTCCTCTAGAGAAAATTGTTAATTAATAATTTATTGTAGCGGCCAGAATTTTCAAAAAAAAAAAAGGATAAATATTTATTAGGAGGTTCTATTGTAATTACAAGAAAAATGTTTACCAATAAAGTTATCAGAAATGGGAAAATTAAAAATTTTGATATAAGACAAAGCAGTTAGCCCAACTGTTGATGAGATTACTGATAGAAGGTTCTATTCTAAATTTAAAATAATCTTACAAACATTAAGCCCAATTTGTGCTAAAATATATTTGGTTGCATTATCAAATAGTACAGTGCAGGACATCTATAATGGTCAATAGTCCGAAACTTAAAATTTTAGAAGATCTTTCTAATTTAAGTAATCATATTCCTTTTATTGGAAAGATTGTCTGTATCACGGAAAATTTTTAAGCCGATCATCAACCTTTTAGGAAACCACAAGGGAATATCATTCCGAAATTTTACAATTTACATATAGACATATATAAAATGTTCTAACTTTCAAGCCTTATAACTCAAAACTTTTCTAATAAAATGAAAAAGTAAACCGATGGAAATGAAGCTTAGGTCTTTAGCTTTAATTTTATCGGTTTATTTTTTTTTTTAATTTTTTTAATAAGGAGTTATAAGCTTTTAAAATCATGTGATAATCATTGACCGTTATAGATGTCCTGCACTATACTAACTACCAATCAAAATTCGAAAACTTAATCATGTGTGTAATGTATCACGTGAAACTGGCTTATAGTATTATACTCGAGGCTAGGGTTGACCGACTTGGCACTTATCGCGACTTTATATAGATTGACTGACTTGTCGAATTTTTTTAAATATTAATATTAAAGAAAAGTTCGGCCGAGTTGTACCAAAACCAACTTATCGAATTTACAAATGTATCTTTTTTATCCAGACCATCCAATTTATTAATTGTATCTTAACATTTTTTACTAATTCATGTGGTGATTTTTGTTTTGGGTTAAAATTGACGAAAAAATTTTTTTGATGATGACAAAAACTGCCTCAGAAAATCCAATTGATGTTAATTTATTTTGATTTTGGCAGTGATACAAATATTACAATATATTAATATTGATAAGATTTAATTAGAAAGTTTTATTTTGAATAATGTTTGATCTCTGACGACGTGTCCGAGTGGTTAAGGAGTGTGACTAGAAATCACATGGGCTCTGCCCGCACAGGTTCAAGTCCTGTCGTCGTCGAAATATTTTTTTTTATTATCCATCAGGTAAATATTGGAGATCCTAAAATGTGTGTGTGTACTGTATATATATATATGTATATATGTATATAAATGCATCCACCACAATTGGCACTTCTTTCATCTATAAGTTCATGATGATTTGGATCTGGATTGGTTATAAATTTTTGCATTATTTATATTATTTATTTATTTGATAATTGTAAAGATTTCAATATGGAATACAACATCCCAAGAAAGACTTGGATTTATTATAAATAATTTAATGGTATTTTTTGTATCATTTGTTTGTCTATATGTGAATTTAATATCCAATCATTTATAAGATCCAAATGTATTGAGATTTTTTCTTGTAGGATTTTTTAAATTTTTTCTTAAAAAAAAAAAAAAAACAAAATGAATTTTTGTGCTTTGTGCTAATTCTTTAGCAAAATGCAAATGCAACAATTTTAATGTGTGATATTGCATCCAAAGAAGGCTTTCTAGATATGAATTGAAGGTAAAAGAGATTATATTATCATTGCAGATTATTATCATTTAATTTATTATTAGTAATTAAAAGGTTTGAATATGACTTATAATAAATAATCTATAATAATAACAACAATATTAGTAATGAATATCCTAAATAATTAAATTTTATTATTCCTAGCCCCAGATTACCATTAAAAGAACACGGGATTATACTTATGTATTTTAGGATAATTTATCAATTAATTTAGTTAGTTGGGTTTTTTAATTTAATTTACTAATGTTTTAATTGGTGAATTGTTTCTTGTACTTTGGTTGAACAATAAAACGAAATTGATTTAGAAAACACATTCAAACAAACCCTGTCTACGATATAAGATTCAGAAAGAGGGAGTTGTAAGATGTGTTGATAAAGATTATTATAAGATGGCATACATTTAATTTCATAATTTAATAACTAGTTGAATGAATCTGATGATTTATATATTATATCAAGAACAATAATTTTTTTTATTGTATATTTGGAACATTCCAGTAATTAAATTCATCTAATATTCCTACAATATTAGTAGAAAATTAATGTGATAGAATTTATATAGGTGATAGTAATAATAATAATAATTTTTTGTATTACTATCATTGAAATATTTTCTATTAACCCATTCATTATTTTTATTATTATTGATAAAAATAGTCTTACAAATTTTAAATATTTATGATAGTATATTGTTAATAGCAACAACAAGAATGATAATTAATCCTAACAAACAAATATAAAAATTTAGCAAATTAATAATGATTATTTTTTAAAAAAATATATTTTGAAAATCATAATGAATAGTTATTATACATACCATACGAGTCTTAAGTGTACGAGTTATAACTTTTTCAGGTGTTCTATATAATAATCAATTAATTAATAATAAATAAATCTCTTTAATTTTGCAAAAATCCAATTACGAAATCATGAAAACATACATAACATGAACAAATGCACCCCAACCACTTTTACAATCTCTATCAATAGCATTCATTAACGCTTGTGAAATTGTTTCAAATAAATCGTCAGGCTCCTACAATAATAATAATATATTAATAATAGTGTTATTATTATTGTTATTATTATTATTATTAAAAAAAAACACTCACCAGATCGGGTTCCCACAATGCTTCACAAATTCCATACAAGTTTTCAGCAGATGTACCACCAACAACAAAATCTGTAGCATTACCAATACAACCTATTAAATCCATTTCACAAATATATGGTTGATTGTGTTTATCAATTCCCGCAACAATTGGTTCTACAAAGTATGGTCCAAATCTATATTTGTGTTTATAAAGAGAGAAATAAATATTTCCATCATCAGTATGATATATTTTTATAAATCTTTATATAAATATTTTTTACAAAAGCATGGATGGATACCTTTTTTCATACAATGTTGATGATACCAAGTGTGCAAGTGTTTTTGGTTCAATATCACGTTCTTCACGTAATTTATACATATTAATCTTGAAACGGAATCTTTCAGATCTATATATACAAAAAAAAAGTTAATTAATTTGTAAAAGTCATCAATAATACTAATTGTATCAAATAATTTATTAATCTAATCTTAACAACAATAACAACAATAATATTAAATATTACAAGGTTTGAACATCAGTGGCCAATCCAGGAAGTCCAACATAACATTTATCTGTTGCTTGAAAGATTTTTGGAAATTCAGTTGATATTGTCATTAATTGAACACCAAGAAATTTATCAGACGCAATGGCAACACAGTTCTTTCCGACCATTGCAACAACACTTCCACCATTATACCCTGTGATAGACTGGAAACCAATGGGGAATTTTTAAATAATTTGTTTGATTTAAAGAATTGGAATTATTAGAATTATTGAAATTACTTTACTTACCATGTTAGAAAATTTAATCTGGGATAAAATAATTCAATTTGATAAATTTACCCTTACGTATTCAAAAAAATTTTTTGGGGAGATCAACTTTCACACGTCACATGATTTTAAATTAATCGAAAAAATTTAAAGATTGATTATATTTTTCTTGAGAATTATTATCATTTTGAACAAAAAACTTATTATCAATATACATTAATGAATCATTAAACATTGAACCACCATGGTTCAAATAATAATTCGTTTAATATTTTGTCAAAATAACTTTTTTTTTCTTTCTTTTGTAGAAACTTGGAGACAACAAATCTTAAATATTACTTCACAATGATGAGTCAATAATTTAAACAAAGATGGAATATTTTTTTTACGAAAAAGAATTTTTAATTAATGAATTAAAATTTTGAAAATGTGTATAGCCCAATAACTAAAATGAAGCTGCAAATTTTTACCACCATAACACCTGCAGCAGCGGCAGCAACAAAATCAACAACTATAGGAGGAAAACGTCTTCCACAATATCAGAATCGTCACCTTCTGACAACCATTGTTACAACTCATCAAAACTTCAACATGAAAACTATTTGCCATTAATTAATTTTTACAAAAAAAAACTATCTTTATACAATCCCTCATCAATGATTAATTAATTAAATAAATAACATTAATGAATTTTAATTCTTACATTATCATTATCATAATATAATCATTACATCTTTCTTCTTCTTTAATGACTAAGATATAATCTACCTTTTAATCTTCTCCTTGCTTATTGTATATTTGGAACATTCCAGTAATTAAATTCATCTAATATTCCTACAATATTAGTAGAAAATTAATGTGATAGAATTTATATAGGTGATAGTAATAATAATAATAATTTTTTGTATTACTATCATTGAAATATTTTCTATTAACCCATTCATTATTTTTATTATTATTGATAAAAATAGTCTTACAAATTTTAAATATTTATGATAGTATATTGTTAATAGCAACAACAAGAATGATAATTAATCCTAACAAACAAATATAAAAATTTAGCAAATTAATAATGATTATTTTTTAAAAAAATATATTTTGAAAATCATAATGAATAGTTATTATACATACCATACGAGTCTTAAGTGTACGAGTTATAACTTTTTCAGGTGTTCTATATAATAATCAATTAATTAATAATAAATAAATCTCTTTAATTTTGCAAAAATCCAATTACGAAATCATGAAAACATACATAACATGAACAAATGCACCCCAACCACTTTTACAATCTCTATCAATAGCATTCATTAACGCTTGTGAAATTGTTTCAAATAAATCGTCAGGCTCCTACAATAATAATAATATATTAATAATAGTGTTATTATTATTGTTATTATTATTATTATTAAAAAAAAACACTCACCAGATCGGGTTCCCACAATGCTTCACAAATTCCATACAAGTTTTCAGCAGATGTACCACCAACAACAAAATCTGTAGCATTACCAATACAACCTATTAAATCCATTTCACAAATATATGGTTGATTGTGTTTATCAATTCCCGCAACAATTGGTTCTACAAAGTATGGTCCAAATCTATATTTGTGTTTATAAAGAGAGAAATAAATATTTCCATCATCAGTATGATATATTTTTATAAATCTTTATATAAATATTTTTTACAAAAGCATGGATGGATACCTTTTTTCATACAATGTTGATGATACCAAGTGTGCAAGTGTTTTTGGTTCAATATCACGTTCTTCACGTAATTTATACATATTAATCTTGAAACGGAATCTTTCAGATCTATATATACAAAAAAAAAGTTAATTAATTTGTAAAAGTCATCAATAATACTAATTGTATCAAATAATTTATTAATCTAATCTTAACAACAATAACAACAATAATATTAAATATTACAAGGTTTGAACATCAGTGGCCAATCCAGGAAGTCCAACATAACATTTATCTGTTGCTTGAAAGATTTTTGGAAATTCAGTTGATATTGTCATTAATTGAACACCAAGAAATTTATCAGACGCAATGGCAACACAGTTCTTTCCGACCATTGCAACAACACTTCCACCATTATACCCTGTGATAGACTGGAAACCAATGGGGAATTTTTAAATAATTTGTTTGATTTAAAGAATTGGAATTATTAGAATTATTGAAATTACTTTACTTACCATGTTAGAAAATTTAATCTGGGATAAAATAATTCAATTTGATAAATTTACCCTTACGTATTCAAAAAAATTTTTTGGGGAGATCAACTTTCACACGTCACATGATTTTAAATTAATCGAAAAAATTTAAAGATTGATTATATTTTTCTTGAGAATTATTATCATTTTGAACAAAAAACTTATTATCAATATACATTAATGAATCATTAAACATTGAACCACCATGGTTCAAATAATAATTCGTTTAATATTTTGTCAAAATAACTTTTTTTTTCTTTCTTTTGTAGAAACTTGGAGACAACAAATCTTAAATATTACTTCACAATGATGAGTCAATAATTTAAACAAAGATGGAATATTTTTTTTACGAAAAAGAATTTTTAATTAATGAATTAAAATTTTGAAAATGTGTATAGCCCAATAACTAAAATGAAGCTGCAAATTTTTACCACCATAACACCTGCAGCAGCGGCAGCAACAAAATCAACAACTATAGGAGGAAAACGTCTTCCACAATATCAGAATCGTCACCTTCTGACAACCATTGTTACAACTCATCAAAACTTCAACATGAAAACTATTTGCCATTAATTAATTTTTACAAAAAAAAACTATCTTTATACAATCCCTCATCAATGATTAATTAATTAAATAAATAACATTAATGAATTTTAATTCTTACATTATCATTATCATAATATAATCATTACATCTTTCTTCTTCTTTAATGACTAAGATATAATCTACCTTTTAATCTTCTCCTTGCTAGTATTCTTCTTCCATTTTTTCTACGCAAACGTTGTAAATAACCATGTCTACGTTTCCTGACGAGATTACTTGGTTGGTATTCTCGCCCATAAGTCGGAAAACGTACTTGTATATTGAAGATATTTGAAGTTTGTGGTAGAGTAGATCGACTTGGAAAGCTTTGATTGTTTTTTTTATAGCTTAATAATTTAGCTTTAAAGATAATTCGAGGAAGTGAAAGTGAACGAGTAAAATTACCTTGGATTAAAATTGTTAAAATTGTTGATTTCAGAAAATATATTTATCGTCGATTTAGTTGATTGTTTTGTTAATGCTGTGAAAAGTTTTCTCGTAAAAGAAAGTAACATTGTTTGTTGATAAATTAAACTGATTGAATATTTTTTCAAGAAATCTATGGAATACTAGTAATTTGATTGGACGATGGATTGTATTACTACTATGTAGAAAATAAATAAATGCATGTCCTTGCAAAAAATGAAGTCATTTTGGCAATCTTATAAAGCATTACCACCTAGAACAAGAATATTACTTGGTTTAGGTATATTTTTTTTTATTAGTAATATATATATAAATATTATATTACTAATACTAATAATATATTATAGGTGGTATGGTCATCGCAGTAGTTGGACACCTTGGTACTGACTTACTCGAGAAGAAGTATCCATCATTATTACCCACTGACATTAATAATAATAGCACTAATAATAATACCAACAATGATGATAATACAAGTTGATTGATTGTAATTATAATTATAATTATGATTATTATTATCATTGTTGGTGTTATAAATCAAAAATTATAATAATAATAATTGTTATTATTACTATTATCAAAGGTCAAACTTTCTTTCTCTAATTAATTTAATGATTTTTTTGAAGACAATGTGCGTGAATCAGAAGTGGAGGATGAAGAAAGTGTAGAAGATAAAGTTGGAGTGGTAGCCATATTAGTATTAAAAGAATCTTTGTAAATGAAAATTCAATAAATTTTTTAATCCATGAATATATATAAAAAAATTTTTTGGTTAAAAATCAAAAGATTTATATTTGCACTTAATGAAATGAAATAGGTGAAAGGTATCAATCAACCATACCCATACTCCAGAGAATGATGCCAATCAATATCTGTGAACATATAATGATGTGATGTGATGTGAAATACTTGAACCAAAAAAATGATGCACTACCACTAATACTTGTTTTTTTTTTCATTTATATAAAAATCAAATTAATACAAAAAAAATGATTTTAAATCAGTCAAGTATCTCTTGCTGCAACTTGCCATGAATGGCAAACTTGTCAGGTTGATGAATGGAAAAGTCTCGAGATTCATAGTGTAAACACCATGACATCCTATTAAAAACATTGTATGTAAAAATGGAAATCCATCGAATATACGCACATAATAAAGTATCAATAACCTAAAAAAAACCATTTTAAAATAATGAAAATATAAATATAAATATATTCCTTATATATATAATCAAAATCCCACTATTTTTGAATTTTTATAATCTTTTCGTCATTATAATAATGATGTATGACGAAACCTTTGGCTTTAGTCATTGACGTAACTAAAGTATTGACTAAAGGTAGTTTCTATTCTGACGATTTGACTAAAATAAAAACCCTTGACGTAATTAAAAATACTTGACGTAAGTAAAAACATTTGATACAAGCAGCAATAATAGTTTCAAATTTATTACTACTTGATAAAAAATTTTCTGCATATTTTCTTTCAAAATAAAAATGCCACTTCATTAAAATAAAATGGAAAAATCAATTGTCTTTATATACATACGAGTTGTGTTAAATGTTTTTTCGAATTTGACTTTGAAATTAGCTACGCGTAATAATAATACGCAGTAATATTAAATTTTTTTTTAACATTCAGGTCATTATATTTTAATATTTAAGCGAATATATTCTTTTCATGTTAACTTGCATATTCAATAGTTCGTTTGTCAAGTTAATGACTATTAGGTGTTATTTATTTATTTATTATTTTAATTTTTTATATAAATAAACATTAAAATGAAAATCCAACAAATTGAAACATTATTTTAACATTTAGGTGAAATATTCTTTTCCATGTTAACTTGGATATTCAATGATTGCTTTGTGATTGTTTAGTCTACAGTTAAATGATGAATTATTGTCATACGACCATCAAAGAAAAAAAAAATCAAAATCAACATCAACTAATGGACAATGACACTATTATCAATTAATAGTTCTATTGTTCGTTGTAAAAATGAATTCTAAATTGTAATACATAAATTAAATAACTACTTGCTATATGAAAAAAAAATTTTTTTTGAAGTGGGCGATAACAATTTTATTCTATTCTTGAACGTGTATGATTTTTAGACCAATCAAAATCAACTTTACATGATATCTTGCTGACGATTTTTAACCAATAAAATATGATCGACGAGAATGTCTACTATGCTGTACCCATTTGTTTTAATAAAACACACATGTACCCTTAGCAAATCCACCAGCGCCAAATGCATTCCAAAAACTTACAGTGCTACCGGCAATATAATATTCATGACAATGTGTATAAGCTAGAGTAGTTGGTTGTCCAAAATATCTTGTGTTGTATAAGCATTGGAATCTCTGTAATTAGTTTTCTATTATATTCATACACAATCTGATCCTTCAAAATGAACATTTCGTTTAAAATGTTTGGTTACACCAGGTATATGAAGTTACATCACGTGGTCTCACGCCTGTCGGTTGATCTTTGCTTTATTAAAAAAAATTTTTTTTTAATGAAAAATTTTACTTTTTATATTAATATATTAACATATATATTAGGTTAATGTGATTGATTACTAAAAAGTAAAATTAAATACCGACACGATTTAATTTTTTAATATTAATTAAAAAAAAAAAGTATTTACATCATTATATAAATAATGATCATTACATCGAACCAACCAACATATTCAATTGTATATTTCTTCTTTTCCACTCAAAATGTCTTCTACTAATCTCCTTACATCTTTTATTGGAAGATACGACCTTATGTATCTGGTTGGGAGAATGATGAATCTTTACCAAATGGATTGAAATATGAAGGCGTGGATGGATGTGATGAAAATGGGAATCCTATTTATCGTCAATATGTTGGTGGAAGTGCTGGTCAAAGCTCATTGATCCAATCGTTGGATATCGTACTTAACATTGAACATTATCCAACCGGTATTAAGCCAATTACAATCAATAACTACAATACTCACCATTCTCATAATTCATCTAATGGGAACCTCAATAACAATAATAATGCGAGTAAAAACAAGCGGGATCTACATCAACAACAACCTTATGTTTACAAGATTCGTCAAAATATTCCTGGAAATCATCGAAGGTTTCTTGAAGATTTGACAAAGGTTGCAATCGTACGTGATTATATTATGTTATGCATTGGATGCAATGATTCAGAAATAAATAATAAACTGGAAAGTAATAGAATTTTTGAAAACAATGAGTTGGTTGAAGCTTATAATGACTGTTTAGATAAAATGAAAACCTTCAGATCAAAGCATTTACAAATCGTTAGTGTTTACATTTTAGCCCAAGCATGTAAAGATAGACCATTTCATAAAGGTATGTATGTATGTGTATATGTATATTTATTTGGATATTTTTATTTGTTGAAAACTGATTGTTAATATTTTGTTGATAGATATCATCGATGACTCTGTTACTAATGGTGCTTCTACCATTAAAGGCAATACTATCAATAGCTCTGCCACTAACATTTCTGCCGCTAATTCTGCTAATGATACTATTGCTAAAATTGCTACTAATGATACCACAACCACTAACACCACTAATTGGCACGTTAGTAATGATCCAGTTTCAAATGCCACTACTACCGCTAATATTAAAACTAATGATGTTAACAAAAAAATTGTAAATAATAAAGTAACAACCACATTAGCCAAAACTTCTAATGATTTAAATATAGTCAGAGGTACTGGTGGGACTGATCTAATCCCTTTTTTGAGACAGATGAGAAATGAAACTAATTCTAAAGAAATTAGAATTTTAAAGGATCATCTGATTTAAAAAAGCAAAAAAAAAAAAGATTTGTTTTTTTAGAATTTAATTCATTTTGTATTAGATCAAATTCGGTTGTGCTTTATTTGATTAAAGGAATATACTTAATATTTGTACATGCTGCAACAATTGAACAAATAATTGGCTAAAGAATGTGATATGACGGTTTTATAGTATCTCTTCCAAGTAATTGTCTTGGTTTTTATTATTTCGATATCCTCCATACAAGATAAATGGTCAAAAGTGTAGACGAGACGATTAGATAAGTGCTAGATTCTTCTGGACATTAAAAATCTACGTTGATCATTATATTTGGAGGATACTAACTTTACTTGCTGCTGCTTTTTATGTATTCCAAGAACTTTTTATAAATCATTAAAATCCTACTTAATCACTTAATCAGGATGGATATTCTTAAACTTGATGACATAACCACTAGTAAAATGCAAGTATTTTTTTAAAATTTAAATTGAAAAATTCTAAAAAACAAATAAACATTAAAATTCATTGTCTATTTAGTCTATGCTGTTGATTGTAACCTCTATAGTGAATCTTTTGTCCTTATGTGTTTTTGAACTTTAGAGAAGAAAATAATAATAAAAAATGGAATGTGAATTCTTTATAGTGTGATTTTACTTATTATTCGTTATAGAGAGTGTGAACTGTATAAGTGAAAATGAATAAGATAATACTGATAATAATACTGCAAACTCTGAGGAAAGTATCATACTATTGGAAAGAAATTTGATAGCGATGCATATGAAAAAATGAAGGTTTATGCAATAAAAAGCAAGGACTGTGCGTTTCAACGAGAAGAACATTTAAATGTGAGTGCAGAGGAAGTTATAGTGAATGATGTTAGAAATGCTACTTCTAAACATAACTATTGTACTTGGGACAATGAATGTTTCTTTCAAGCCACCTTTATAAAGGGTCATGTTACTAATCACACGCAAATGAGTTACTAGTATATTAATATGGTGGAGCAAATAAATCCGGTGATTTATCCATTGGTGAACGCTTATTATTATATTAATGAACGTATTAAGAAAATAAGATATCATTAGATTTATCGCGTTGATGCTCTTGCGAATGGTTTTATTGTGGAACTTGCTGCTTGCATATGTCTTCAACGGTATATTTATAACTTTACAAATTCTGAAATTTAATAAATGTAAATTCTTTGACTTTAGAGAATTTTAAAGACGAAAAAGATTTATTAGTATGGTTTAATTTTAATATAATTATCAACAAACAATAATATTATATAATTATCAAATCTTGTTTATCTTCGTTATCAATGATAATTAACATCTTTCTTCTCAAAAAGGAATTTCAAGTAACTTGAAGCTTTATGCTTGAGTTCTCGTCTACCACACTATTTGTGTTAGGTGGTGACGACAATATATCGTTATTAATATTAATAGATGTCTTTTGTCATTTAATATAATTTACCCTTTTCAAGAAAATTGATCTTAATAATAAAATTTTTTTTTTTTAGATATCAACTTTAAATTCCTGAGCATCACCATAATTAAAAGAATTGTATGTTAAATGTTCCAAGTATATATACGTAGTAATTAGGTGAGTGATATGCGGTGTCAAAGATGTTGTCAACGAAGTCAATTCAATTGATATTTCACGACCATACATAAGGTAGGTCGCATCATTGATCTTATTGAAGGATTTATTAAAATATCATAACAAAGATATATTTCCCTTCCAAGTGGTTGAATTAGCAGATTTCAGTACGGTGCAAAAAGGGCATGCAGTTCATGATAGACAGTGAACTCCTATAAAAAAAAGATAAATATAAATATTAATTGCGTCTGGTGTTTCAACAAAGTCTATATCTCGTAGAGTTATTATCAATGCAAGATTACAAGTGCAAAATACATAGAACAGAGGCTTTTCAGCATATACACGCAGAAAATCCCTAAATATGAATGGCGTTAAATATTATTTATAATTCAATCTTTGACTTAAACTCGTATTCTCTTTCAATAATCTCCACCACATCAAAATTGCCCACTCCACTCAAAAAGAAACACCTGATATTCATTTATTTTGGCCTGCAAAGATGATTTCCCCATAGAAAGATTGCTCTATATATATGAGACCTATTATCATTATCAAGAAGTTTGGTAGAGATTAAAACTTTATATAAACTATGGTTCATGTCTTCAAAACTTGTTGTTCTTTACTGCCTTTTCTTAAAAAAATGTATCTATACACCTTCACTAACCAGTAAATTTTTTACTGGAACATTAAGCAAGCAAAAAAAAAATTTTTTTTTGAATATGACAATACACATGGTATCATCTGTTAAACAACATCTCGCTACTAACCATATAACTATATAATTACAAGTTTTTTTTTGGGTAAATAAATGTAAACTCAATTAATTAAACAATAATTGTTATTTGAATGAGTTGGCTAAATTTTTTTGGGAAAAAAAATAAATAAAAAATTACCAAAATTAGAATCTGAATTTTTTTTAAATATAGAAAAAAAAATTTTCATTGCTATATAATAAAATGTAAAATAACATTTGATGAGAGAAATTTTTACTCTTAACAGTTAATAACAATATAATGATTATTATTATTCAAATAATTGTGGTACAGTAACAGATGATTTGGTATTTTTGTAAACATTTTATCATCTTTACTAAAATTAGTAATATAGAAGTATTTTTAATAAAAATGTAATAATTTTTTTGATCAAAATATTCAAATAGAAAAAAAAATTTACAATAATTTTTTTACCCTATAAAAAAAAAAAAAAAAAAATTCTAAAAAGCGATGTTAACAATGAATCAAGCACCAACCACACCTACCACCAGTATTAGTACTCCACCAATGCAAAATCATGGATTTGGTTTTGCTACACCTATAAATTTGACAAATATAAATAACATAAATAATCCTAATAATCCTAATATTCACATACTTCCAGCCTCAATACCAATGCAACCACAACAACCTAATCCTGCCATACAGTAAGTTTTATTTCTATTTCATAACTTATCTATCTTATTATGTGGTGCGATTCGCGATTCGTTTTTTACTTGGAAACATTCATTAAATTCATTTTAATAAATTTAAAGTCGTAATCAAATCATTCCTATTACTATAGGGGGAGGAGGGTTAGTTAACGTTATTACATATATTATTTTCTGTCTTTTCTACTTATATGTATCTATCTATATACATATATACACACATACATACATACATAAATACACATGTATATATGCAAATAAATATTTTTATTTATATGCATTTCTAAAATTAAATATTTAGACGACAGCCTTTTTCTGGAAGAGGAATTCTT